ATGATAAACGGACGCAATATAAACAATTATAGACAGTATATACTGAGCAACATTTAGTAAGAAATAATCTACTATTCTATTCAGAACATAGTCCTTGTTTTTTGTGAAGATCTTATGACATTAAAGATGGTGTTAACATCATGATCAGACGGAGAACTAGGTGTAGATGTGCACAGCAGAGCAGGTCCTCCGTTCAACATAAAAGAAGAATTTTTAATGGAAAAACTGAAGAAACATTGAACTTGGCATAAGCAGTGGATCTGCCTGTGGCACAATTGTACAAATTAATTCCAGGTAGCTTTGTTCACATGGGGAACGCAGACTGCAAAAAAATTAATATTCATTATAGATTTTTTATTCATAAAACAGAAGAACGGGCATCTTCTGTATGGATGGAGGGGGATGGTTTGTATTACTTGTAATTTTTTCCCCGCGGGCTAAAGGAAACTTTAATTACGGAGCGGCCTGATGAGAATCACTTGAGAATCGCTGCACAAATATCAACATGGATTTAAAGATAATGACAACATGATAAAAAGAAAGGCAGTAAAAAAACAGCTCAGTCTTTAATCCCATACTGCAGCTCTTCAACACTGCATTCTACATACTACATACCACAGAAAGTACACAAGCACACAGAAAATACTAGCCTGGATGCCAGCCCGAACCCCGCCCACAACATTTTTTGGTCGGGAAGTTCGGTCTGGACTCGATCCATTGAGGAGTAATTATATCGGTTCAGAAATCGTCGGGCCAATCAAATTGCCAGGGCGGGCTTTATATGATGATGGACAGATGATCTGCAGTTACGTCATCATCACGTTATCAAAGAGCGCTTGGGTTGAACTGGTTTCCCTCAGAGATGACTGCAGCTGGAGAACTGAGATGTAGAGATCCCGCTATCGCGTCTGTTGTAAAAGAAATCGACAGCGCATTCATTTTAAAAGACGAACAGAGAACTGCAATCAAGGCATTTGTCGATCGGAAAGATGTGCTTGCCGTCCTTCCTACGGGATTCAGCAAAAGTTTATTTTATCAGCTGGCTCCGATGGTCGCTAAGAAGATGGGACGCAATGAAAACTCTGTGGTCGTTGTGGTTTCTCCTTTGGTCGCACACTCGCACTCATGGAGGACCAAGTAAAAGAAGCAACACTCATTATTTTACTACTTCTTCCAGCGTGTGTGCAGTTGAGTTCTGTTGAAACTATGTTATGCAACTATGTAGCTGACTTACTGCGTTGCTCTGATTGGTTGTAGGTCTATCCAATTGAGTGCAGAGGTTGTTGTTTTTTCCTGGTTCGGTTAAGACACGCCCTTATAATCAAAGCCCTATGGAGCAGTATCAGACTCACATACTGACTAGAATATGAGTATGACGAAGTCAGGCTAAGAAAATACAGCTTTACATGAAGAAATCCATATTTGCAAAAGCACTTTTCACTTGTATTTAAGGGTGTTTAGGTGACAACAATGTCCTAAAAATTGAAAAGTTTTTCCCTTTGTTTTTTTTTGCTTACAGACGTCAACATTGTCAAAATGATCTCACGGATCTGCTTAAAAAACTAAAACGCTGTATTCTGCTGGCAGGCCAGTAGTTTGCGATGTCACTTTGTAAAGAAACACTACACGCCTAGACTAAACATGTAATACACATGCGCACGACGTCACCGGTTTCACAAATTCACGTTTTTGTAGTTTACTCAGAGACAAAAACCCGTTTTTGAAAGTTTGCATTTTCAAGCCCCCAAAACACTTGTAAATAAAAAAAGTTCTTAGTTGAAAATGGTGTCATGTGATCGGCCCCAAAGATAAATGAAACTAAATAGGATCTGAGCGATGAAGCAGCCATCAATATCTTTAACTACCTACCCCATCCGGCAAAGAATCCAGTTTTTAAATCCATTTGTGTTTATCCGATGCAATTTTGAAGTATTCTGGGGCCAAATATACCACAGAAAACATCCTTGATGAAGTGTTTTGGCAAAGTATCTCAGGCTCTTTAACAGTGTCTCCTAAAATATCTAATCAGATAATTATACCCCAAAAATATTTAGACTCTGAATCAGACAGGAACTGTGCATACTTGTTCATTATATCCTTATACAGGACTTATTCTTTTGTGTTTGCTTCAGAAGTTAAACTCTACAGGGGAACAGTCAGAAGAGAAATTCCTCGAGTTAACAGGCTGTAATTTAATATCTTTGTGGTTTTCATTTTCCATGAGGTGGCGAGTTTTCTACAGACAACCGGAAAGGGGTTTCCAGCCTGTAAAATGTAATGGCACGTCCATTTATAACACACACAAGTCCTGCTGTTTACATGAGAGCACTTAGTCTGAAGCATATTCTCTAGTCTAGACGGCCCTTCATGTCAAATGCATGTTTCAGTTAAACGTCTCCAGTTTTAAACAGACATTTAGTGCCACAAGAGTCATTGTCATTCAGACAGTGTTTTAATTTGCCAATCAAACCTGCTTGATGCACGAGAATGAACCTCATTGGTTCTTGCTGAAGCTCAAATGTGCTGCGTAACACGAGGATGAACCTCATTGGTTCTTGCTGAAGCTCAAACGTGCTGCGTAACACGAGGATGAACCTCATTGGTTCTCACACGTCAAGCGCGCATGCTTGAGCTTCTGTTTACCACAACTGATGTGTGAGTTAATGAATGTGAATAAAAGCCTACATTCAATCTGTTCATCATATAAAACGATCGTGTTTCTTCAGAAAATTTTGACTAAACCGCTCAATTCATATGGATTACTTTTACTATCTAATTATGAACTTTTTGAAACGCGAAAATGGTAGTTGCGTAGTTAGCAATGGAGGGAAAGAAGATTTCATCAAAAAGATCTTAATTTGTGTTCCGAAGATGAACGAAAGTCGTACGGGGTGAGTAATTGACCGTTCGCAAAAGCCACGCCCCCTAGTTATTGTTGCTACGCCCGTCAAACAAATGGTCAAACACGACCAGCGCCACAGATTGCCATGACGGGAAGAGGTGCGTCAGTGACCTTTTTTGGAGCAATAGCTCCGCGATATCCTCCAGATCGAGGCAAAAAGGGTTACAGTATGCAGTGGAGGGATATATTCTAAATATAAAAATACGCAATGAAGGAGACACGACTACTATCGAGGCTGATAATGCTCTCAAGCTCTCAAACCGGTCTCAAGCGAAATCTGAGAAACCCCATGACCTGTAACGTTACTGCTACCTCAAATGCAACCAGCACAGCCTTGAAGAACATTTTATAAGCTGTTTCAGTGGCTAATTGTTTGGAGTTAGAAATATATAACTCGCGCTGCATATTTAGTCATTTTGCCTCAGATACAGGATTATTCATTCGCTTTAACAAGCAGGTTGTTCATTACCACGGCAACCGCTTGCGTGTCATGCTGAATGCGATTTTCGTGTTTAAAAAGTAACTATACATAATAGACGGAAAGATGCAGATAACCATACATTATTTCTATTCGTTACGATATTGATATGAACTGATGTTGTCAAGTAAGCTTCATGCGTTCCCCGTTGCGAATGTGCACTCCTCTAACGTTAGTCTAAACTGTAGTCTACAGGTGCTGCTGCTCATTTCCCCCCGAAAATATCATGTTAACAACAACACTTTAGAAAACGTACTTCCTTTGTGGATCCTTTTGTTCTGCTTTCTCCATGTGTCTTTGACTAATCTCAGTGTCTCAGTCTCACGCACGCTGCACGCGAGTTAACCATGTTCGACACATTTAACTGGGAGTGGGGCCGTCCACACTGTTTTATCCATTGTAGGGACAGCGCACGTTGTGTTTTCGGCTTTTGAAACGGAAAGAACACAACTCCTCCAGACAATCTCTCGGGGTATCTAGTGTCCGATTTACAAACGCTGTGGGCGCACCGCTTTACCATCTTGCTTGGAGTCAATGTTTGACGGACCTGCTCACATAGTAACGGTTGCTATGATGTGTGATTGGACAATAGCCGTTTTGGAGGAGGGGCCTGCGAACGGTCAATTAATGACAGAATTTTCATTTTTGGGTGAACTATCCCTTTAAGTTGACTTAAAAAACTGTTTGTAAAAGCATTGGAAGACATATTGTTTGAACATAGAGAAGTTAAGAAAGCGTATAACAAAAAATATATTATGTTTAGGTCATTACTCTGCATAATAGTTAGACTTTATTTCGATGGTCCACTTTAGGCATTCTACTAACTATAAGTAACTTTGCTACTACATGTCAACTAACTCTCATTAGAGTACTAGACTAATACTGTTAGGTTAAGGTTAGGTGTTAGGGTTTGGGTTAGTAGATTAAGTTGACGCATAGTTGCAAAGTTACTTATAGTCCGTCTGTTGGGGAGCCTAAAACAAGAGTTAGCAGATATTAAGCAGGCAGTCTACTAATACTCTAATGACTGCTAGCTGACATGAAGTTGCAAAGTTTAGTAGAATGTCTAAAGTGGACCATCGAAATAAAGTGTAACCTACAATTTTAACATAACAAGCTAATAAATTGAATGTGAGGCATATTTGTCAGTCATGCATAGGCTACATTAAACTGGTAAGACACAGGCAATATTTCTATAATTACTAATAACACTGTAAAAAGTGATCAGTTGACTTAACTTTAAAAAAGTGAGGAAACCCGTTGCCTTAAAATTATTACGTAAATAAACTTAAGTTTTGCATACTATGGACAGACAGTATGCATCATATTAGAAATAGTCGTATGCTATTCTGAACACAGACACTGTCAAAGAGGCACGAGACACTGTTGAGCGCTGCCCTGAAGCCCAGAGGTGAATCATGTGAAAGAGGCTTATTACAAAGATTCATTTCACATGCATCTCTACACATATCACATTATCCTGCCCACACTCTCGTTCAACAAGCCAGCACCCGCTGCAAAACACTTTAGCGGTGGCATTAACACTGGAAACATGATTGTGCCGATCTGGGCCGGTTTGGAGGGTGTCGTCCAGTCTGAAGCCACGTGACACACACTTACTGTGTTCTCGTGAACGCTGCCGTCTGATTCTCCAGCGCAGGACATTCCACTGCACAAATGAAGCACAACTGCAGGAATGCAGCATTTCAGATCAGATCAGATTGACACACTTCTGTGAGACTCAATTCGTTCAATTACACGCAATAGTCATGAGTCAAATGGAAAAGTTTCCCTGCTAACAGAAGCACCATAAGGGCCAGTTTACTCTTAACAACACCAGACACAGGTCAGAGGAAGGAAAAGTAGCACAAGGACTTTGGACGCGTTTTTTTAAAAGTTGGATTTTTACCTTGAGCCTCTCATTTTTAAAATGACGTGTAGGAAACAGGGGAAAAATAGCACAGAAAAATGCCTTCTGTGTGAACAGCCCCTAAAACTGTAGGGCATATAGGCATACTTGATTGAAACAACCACATCAAACTTATCAAACACATTATTTAGAGTTCCCACGCTTTAAGACCAAAGCATTTTGTAATAGATCATACTTAAAATACGAAAATATCTGACAGACGGATAGTTCACAAATTATGGTTTGTGGGCATGTTTAACTTCAAACAAGCACACAAAGAGTGCTATCTAGTCACAAAATTAAATAATTTAGAGCAGCAGAAAACAAATATAAATTTGCATTAAGTCTCCAATATTTTACTCCTTTACATGACTTTTTTTATACCTGTAAATCCCAATTTTTAAAATTCATTGAAATTTCCAGGTTTTACATAAACATGAAATGAACTCAAATTATTAGAGCCATTTAGATCATCATTAAACTTTTACTTACAAATGTTGTGCCCCTTTGATTCAACATGATGGATCCATCTAACTGTCTACTAAAATGATGTCAGCAGTAACAGTATGTAGTACTGAGTTTCTTAACATTTAGAAAGCAGGACTGGACCTGTTCAACTCATTCGTTTTTGTTCTCACTAGACATGAGAGAAGCTGAACACTTCAGAGGACAATTATCATTTGAGGACTGTCTGAATAACACAAACAACCTGCAGCCATATGTAGTACAGTCTGCCCTATATTACATAACCAAACATCTCTCAAGTCCCGATAACACTTTGCAATAAGGTTGTATACGTCAACATTAGTTACAGAAATAGTCAACGAGCATTATTTTTTGGCAGCATTTACTCTTGGTTAATGTTAATTTATTCATGCATTATGAACTAACGTGATATCAATGAACAAAACTCCATTTATGAATTACCATAGACCAAATGCATTAAAAACATTGTTAGTTCATGATACATTAGCTAATACAGAATCTTATTGTAGCTAAAGTGTTTTTAAAGTCTGTCTCAATCTGACAAAAATCATTGCATAATAATAAGTAACACAATTATAAACAGAAGCAGGCCTCGTAGTAAAACCAGGTAACCGTATTAAAAAACACTTAAAATAGTTCACTTAAAAGTGAAAATCCAGTCATCATTTACAGTACTCACCCTCATGTCATTCCAAACCCGTAAGAGTTTTGTTCATCTTCTGAACACAAATGAAGATCTCATTGATGAAATCTGAGAGCTTTCTGTCCCTCCATTGACAGCTATGCAACTACTGACGCTTCAAAAACTTCATAAAGAGATCGTAAATGAATGAGCTCATATGAATTGAGCTTTATATCATGAACAGATTGAATTTAGGCTTTTATTCACATTTAAACATTGATCAGCGAACATAAACAGAAGCTCAACCGAACCTGCTTGACGCGTGAGAACAACTTTATTGGTTCTTGCTGAAGCTCAAACGTGCTGCGTAACACGAGGATGAACCTCATTGGTTCTCGCTGAAGCTCAAACGTGCTGCGTAACACGAGGATGAACCTCATTGGTTCTTGCTGAAGCTCAAATGTGCTGCGTAACACGAGAATGAACCTCATTGGTTCTCGCATGTCAAGCGAACATGCTTGAGCTTCCGTTTACCACAACTGATGTGTGAGTTGATGAAAGTGAATAAAAGCCTAAATTCAATCTGTTCTTCATATAAAGCAATCGCGTCTTTTCAGAAATATTGGACTAAACTGGACTAATCTAAAATTAGATTTACAATCTCTTTATGAACTTTTTGAAACGTCAAAGTAGTAGTTGCGTAGCTGTCAATGGAGGGACAGAAAGCTCTCAGATTTCATCAAAAAGATCTTCATTTGTGTTCTGAAGATGAGCAAAATCTTACAGGTTTGGAACGACATGAGGGTGAGTAAATGATGACTGGATTTACATTTTTGAAAAAAACAAAAAAAAATCATCCATCAAAAACTCACTTGCCAAAGCAAAGAAACATTTTGTACAAATGAGAAGTTTATTCTTTAAAGAAGTGAATAATATAAACTATTGTCTATAAATATAAAGGTTTTTTTGATAGTATCACAGAAGTATGAGAAAGCAGAAAATAACAGATGTCACCGGTGTAGAAAACTGTAATGAGTGATTAAATACATGTCAGATTCATGCATGACGCATCTCAACAGAACAGGAGTTCAAGAGCAGGTCTCTATCAGCCAGTGCTTTCCGCAATCACCATGTGCATTTTCCTTTGGAAAAACAAAAACATTCATTTGCATGAGATATTTGCCATAAACAATCAAGAATCAACATTTTCTCAAAAAAGCACACGATGACATGACAAACCATGAAGAATTATGAACAGGTTGATGTGAATTACCATGTAGTGCTTGACCGATGTGGGGTTATTAATGTCTGATGTTGATACCGATAACCAGAAATGAAATGCAGCATTACTCAAAAATCTGAATTGCATTATCCATTAGCATGCCTGCCGGCAGATTTAGGAAATGACAAACAGGACGAGCGGACACGATTATCGCTGATGACCATCTCAAAAGGGCCAAATATCGGCCCGATTTATCGCCACACATTCGCACCAGAGAGTCGACATGCCAATTTTCACATCATATTCATGGATTAGTTACGATACCAATACAGACATTAAACTATTTGAGAAGTGCATTGCGAACACCATCCATCCTGTTCTAGCTGTATATTTAGAGGTACTTCTGTGCAAAAGAGCCATTGGAGAACACAAAGCCTTCAGAAGCATCATTAATACAGACTGAAGAAACACATGTAACATTTCTTTGAGTTAAACCAAAGTGCAGGCCTGAGCCCAATGCTGCTCCAAAATGAAAAAAGGCACTTGACTTTACATCTTAAAAACATTTTAAAACAGCCTGAGATTGCTGCTCTCCGAGCCAGACCAGATTTGGAGACCAGCAAACCAGTTCATGCTGGGTTAAGCAGATTTTCCAGCACACATCAACCATGAGCACTTACTGTTTTTGTCCTCAGCCTCCATAAAACATTCCAGTACTATAATTCATCTGCACTCAGACAAATCTCAGTCACAAAGCTTTAATTTAAAGCTCAATTCTTTCCATTATTTGCAGCCATAAGTGCTGGGTGCACAATTCACACACATTATTATTATTTCTGCATTATTTGCATGTAAAAAGCAGTTTGAATATTTGCCCGTGGAAATACTGATGTCGATAAAAAAGACACAGTTTTACATACAGGCTTAAAAAACAGATCCCCACCCAGAACATTCCAAGAGAAAAGGCATAAATAATCTCCAAAACAATACGGTCTGTCCCAAACAAAAAGTTCCTTTGATTAAAAAAGAACATCCACGTGAGATTTAAATACAAATATATACTTACAAAAAAAATCACAATGTTTATGTACATCTGTTTAAACAGTTGTTTTCCATCAGAAAAAAAGTGACGGATAAAAAAAGCAGTTCGTCACACTGTTGTTTCTCCATGTTTGCTGTTTGCCAGTCTCGTGTAGAACTTTCTCCATGAATTCAGCGTCTTTCCGGACCATATCCAGAATCCAGATGTGATTCCCACAATCAGTGTCATCAGGTACTTGATCATAAACACCGTGAAATCCGGGTTCATTTGCGGGTTGTGCGCGGGACACGGCACCGCGTAGGTCTTGCAAGACTGCGCGCTCCAGGTTTGTTCCCACTGCGCGCGAAAGGCCTGTTCGTAGAAGTAGCACGCGATCACGATGGTGGCCGGAACCGTGTACAGGACGCTGAAGATGCCGATGCGCACCATCAGCTTCTCCAGCTTCTCCGTCTTGGTGCCGTCGTGCTTCATAATGGTCCTGATGCGGAACAGAGACACGAACCCCGCCAGGAGGAACGAGGTGCCGATGAACAGGTAGACGAAGAGGGGCGCGAGGACGAAGCCACGGAGCGCGTCCACACTGTTGATGCCCACGAAGCAGACTCCGCTCAGGACATCTCCATCCACTTGACCCACCGCCAGGATGGTGATGGTCTTGATGGCCGGGACTGCCCACGCCGCCAGGTGGAAGTACTGGGAGTTCGCTTCGATGGCCTCGTGGCCCCATTTCATCCCGGCCGCGAGGAACCAGGTGAGCGCCAGAATGACCCACCAGATGGAGCTGGACATGCTGAAGAAGTACAGCATCATGAACAGAATGGTGCAGCCTTCTTTTTTGGTGCCCTGCACCACCGTCCGGAACTCATTCTCGAACTGCTCGTTGCAAACCACTTTGTCTTCCAGCAGAAACCCGGCGATGTACGCGATGGACACCATCGTGTAACACCCGGAAAGGAATATAATGGGTCTCTCCGGGTAACTAAAGCGCTTCATGTCCACCAAATAAGTCAGGACGGTGAACAAAGTGGACGCGCAGCACAAAACCGACCAAATCCCGATCCAAATCCTCGCGAACTTCTGCTCGTCCTCGCTGAAGTACATCATCCCGTGGAGTTTTTTGGGTTCGCATGGCGCGCCGCAGTTCTCCTCGCCCAGAAAGTGGTAGTTGAGGTACGGCGGCACTTTTAGCGACGCCGGGCATTTAAAACGCCCCTTTCGGTTGTGGTCGGGTGTCGCTTGTGTCACATCTGGCGTCGGGTTGACGGGCGCGCTCGACGTGTTCTGACCCACGCACAGCTCTCCGCCGTGCACCGGGAACGATTCGCACGCGAGACTCTCTGGCCACTGGAAGCCGAATTTGTTCATGAGAGCCTCGCAGCCCTGACGCGCGCGCTCACACAGCGAGCGGCACGGCGGTAGCGCTTGCTCCAGCACCGTGCACACCGGCGCGTACATGGAGCACAGGAAGAACTTGAGGTCCGGCGAGCATTGCACTTTGACGAGCGGGTAGAACTGGTGCACCTCCAGCCCCGCGTCCTCCTGGTTCGTGTGGCCGAGGAGATTGGGCATGATGGTCTCGTTGTACGCGATGTCCGTGCACAGAGGGATGGAGATGGGCTGGCAGAAGCCGTGCTCGGGAATCGACATGCCGCGGTCTCCGTACTGCGCGCTCACTCCCAATATTCCAAAGGCGAGCAGGAAGAGCGCGGACGCATCGCGCGCGGCCATACTTTCCTTCTGCGGTTTGTCTCCTTTTGCGCCAGCGCTCTTCCTCCTTCTGTTGATTTATCCTGTCAAACGGGCTTTTACTCCGGACAAACTTTTAGGAAAGTGCGGCGGCGCCCCAGACGCTGCTCCTCGGATCACGAAACGAGCGAAGAAAAGAAAAGCACACAAATGCCTGACAAGAATAAAGAGTCGCGCTGTGTGGAGTCAGAGTTTCTGTGAGCTGTTCAAACCTGTTTCCAGGCGCCCCGCTGTCTGCTGTTCATAAGCGAAACGCGGGCGGGGTTTACGGACAGATGGCTCGTGTTAGGGAGCGTCGGGATTTCTTTCGCTTGGGGTTCGTTTTGCGTTCTTTTTACGTTCTTTTAACGTTTGTTCTTTGAGTGTATATAGGGGTGTCGAATGGAACGCATTTTATCTGCTCACTTTAGACAGAAGAACAATAAGTCAAAGAGAATGCTGCTATATTTGTCTTGTCAACTTTTGCTTACATGACAAATACAAATTCAGAATGGAGGCTGCTAACTGAATTAAACATTATACACTGTATACTGTAAACAAACCCGTACAGATACAGGATGTAGTTATATATGCTGCATTGTTGCCTTTGTCTTGCTCAGTTGGGGTTTAAAAGACACTCAGGCTACTATTCTGTAATATGATCGATTTAAAGGATGAGAACCAAGCTTGAAGTAAATTGAGCTAAATAATAACACCATTTGTCTCTCCAGTTTACTTCATTCCTATGAACTTTCATTAGCAATGCATGTTGTCATTTTAAAATGTATTTTTAAGTTATATGGTATACGTAATTTTTGTAAGTCAGTTTAAAGTAATTTAAGTTGACATACACACCCAAGTTGATTGTTCTTAAAAATGTAATGCAGCAAGTACAAGTACAGTAATTGCATCAACATTGAACTGAGTAATGACACATTTGACAATTGTCTTATTGCTAGCTTTAGAGCTGAAATTGTATTTGAACTTTGTGACATCACAGTCTTGACTTGATTTGACATTGTCATGTGACCTCATCATGACGTTTCATGTATTGAGTTATACTGTGCACAGCTCTGGCTGATTGTTGATGAAACATTGAAAATACATTAACAAAATCTCTAGGAAAACATTATTTTGCAATCTTTTGAACAGACAGTCTATCCCAAACACAGCTTTGTTTTCATTTCCGTCAAATAAATATGGCTATTAAGGTACATAATGATAACAAGGATAAAGATAGGCTATAGTAATTTTATACTTTGTATAGATAATTTACATTTTCATACAAACATTTCTTAAATGTAGCAATTGCTGCCTGGGAAATTATTAAAATCAATTTATAAATTGTGCCATCACATTAATGCAGATCCATTTTTACAGAAAGCTCTTAAAAACATTTGCAATTTTGTTTTGAACTGATCAAATTTCCCTTCAATGCAATGAAGGTCACTTTGGATAAAAGCATCTGCCAAATGCATAAATGTACATGACATAAAGCTGTGAAATGTTTTTACCGTATACGCACACAGCCAATAATTATAGGCTATTGACCATCTGCATACTTCTAAAAGTCAGCGAACACAATCTGCTTGCACAAAAACAGAGACGGCCCCTAAGGTGAAGCTCAGACTGCTGTCTTCCTATTGGTTACTGTGTGTGTCTGTAAGAGAAATGAGAGGAACATGATTTGCTATGACAGGGGAATGTAAAGACAGCCTTCACTAAGAGTCTGGATACTGGCTGGAATACAAAACAACTTTTGCATGCGTAAATATTCATTTTCCATTTTGTATAACAACAAGCATGAAATGCAGTTCTGTCGCTCATATTGGACCTTAATTTGTGCACAATTCAGAGAGCAAAACTCCAAAATATTGCATTTTAAATGTGTCACTCTTAGAAGAAAAGGTTCTATATAGAACCTTAAAAGCTTCTGTCAGGCACTTCATATAGAACCTTTTAGGGGTTCCTATCATGGGATCATTTTATGGATTTAGTTTTAATTCAATTTTTTAATTGAGCAGCTCGTAAACATACTTTTATCACTTATGGAACATTTTAAATAACCTGTTAAACATGAAAGAATTATGCAATACAGTAGAACCTTTTTGGCATAAAGTGCTCTTTAAAGTTGAGTCAAGAACTAGGGTTCTCGATGACATGTAAACTCACTGATAATGTCTGTTTGTGAACCTTTTCCTCATGAGTCCTTGAGTTCCTCATTTGACTTAATCAGCTATTCAAAAAGCCATTTTCTTACTTAGGCATGGGTTTTGATGGCATAGTTACACACCAACCACTACAGTGAACACTAGTGCATCATCCTATGCCACCAAGTGGCAAGCTATTGCATGTGGATTTATTTTCAAACTCCAAACCAAGTTGGCCGACAACCAGTTAGAAATGCCAAATTGCTCCGGAATATCCATCCATTCCTTCTATCCTGAAATTACTCCAGCTGCAGTAACTTTTTTTGGATGTAGATAGAAGTATTTGTGTTATTAGAATGTAATTTGCAGTTATGTCAAAAAGTAATCGGATAACGTAATGTATATTACTTGCTACTTTACTCGTTACATCAAAAAAGTAATCCGATTACATAATGCACGTTACTTGCAATACGTTTCTTCACCCGTTACATCAAAAAAGTCATCTGATTACATGATACTTGTAATAATGCGTTACCTCTAACACTGCTTATTTCAGATGGGATTGAAAATACCTGGAGCCAGTTGCATAATAGCCATGTTAAGACTGTCTTAAGAACTAGTATGACCAAATAGCAGTTAGTTAGGGGTAATCAGTCATACTTCTTGGTAACAAATTAGACCAATCTATGTTTTTATGTAGCTTTAAGTTATAAAGTCTTACAGAAATATTTTGATGAATAACTAGTAAGACTAGTCTTAGAGCAGTTTATGCAACCGGTCCCTGATCGCTAGTTTGTCCACGGTCTGAAAACATCAATAGATCAATGTAGATTTCAGTCTGAAGTTTTGAGGAGCGTTACGGTAGAAATTTGCCTATTTTGAACATAATTAGAGTTATCAGCTAATAAGGGTAAATGAACAAGGAAGCGTGAGCGTTTCCACAGAGTTGTACCTTCACGGGTTGTAGATCTTCGATGGAACCGCGTCCTCATGTTCGGATATCAAAGACACGCAAAGTTCAACGTGTATGAAGTGCTTCTCCGACGGCTGGTCGAACGGGAACAAACTAAATAGCTTTTGCAACAAGTGAAGCTGTATTATATATTTTTGCATTTGATTGTTTTTGCATTTATTCATTGGTTTGTTAAATGCAGTTGTATTACTGTATTACAGTATCTTGTCAGTTAAAGACACAAACGCATACCATCTGAAAATCTCTTTGTTCTTCAAATCTTGTTTTTCATGCCCTAAGAGCAATAAAAAAGGTTGCACTTTATTTTTAAAGTATACGTGTACTTACCTAAGAAATGCTGGGTAATATAAGGTAACTACAGGGGTTAAGGTTAGGTTCAGGGTTAGTAGTTATTGTAATTACTGTAATAAGTACATAGTAAGTACATGGGAAACAGAACTGTAAAATAAAGTGCTACAATACAATAAAGACACATTGTATAATTCATGCATGAAAGGGTTAAACATTGCAAAAGCAACTTTTTAAACTCAGTTTGTTAATATAGTTCAAAATAGTTCAGATTAGTCACATGCTAATGCCATCTTCTATTTAAATCAATGCACAGATCTCCAAATCATCACTTATGGGGTTCAATTGTGAAAAGGGTGGTTGGTTTGAAGCATTAATAAACTTTATTTATTTCAGGTAAAACAACGATAAACAACATTTACAGAAGGACATTACATCTTCCATAATAACATTACATACAGTTCCTAACAAATAATGCAATTACTACTCTAATATATTCTACGTTTCGTTTTGTTATAAAGTGACCAGTTATACTTCTAGGTTCCAGAACTGTTTGTCGAAATTCTGCATTATTTCAGTGCATCTTACAAAAAGAACAAAATATATAGGCAAGTGAAGCAAAAACACAGATTCAGTGTTCAGCACAGCGGGATGCAATGTCGAACCTCGACGCCTTTTCCCCAACCAGTATTATATATATATACGGAATATGAATTAGTCAAGACCGCTGAAGCGTCACTGTCACACTGGCGTCTCGACCCCTCGTCATATACTATATACAGCCTAGTATATAACAAAGATTACAAAAAGATTAAATATTCACAGATGAATTAAAGATTCAGTGAATAGCATGGTATTGACAGCACATTCCATAGCATGTCCAAACCGGGAATCTAAAGCTGTTCCCTTTTCATGGTAGATTTACACATTTATATATATATATCGATTTAATAACCAACTTTGAAGCAAGCGCCAATGATTATGCAAACATGATGTCTTCTTTTTTTTTTTTTTTTTTTTTTTTTTGTGATTTGTGTGTTCGTCACAGTGCTAAATGTGCAATAATATTATTATTACTTCTATTTTCTCCATTCCAAGTCTCGTACGTTTTTCTTGCCCAGCACAAAAAAGGAGAAACTCTACACACACCTAAAATACAGCATGTGGTTTTGCATGCAAGGCTGTGTCTGCCACAAAGGCAGGAGGAGCTCTTACATGTTTAAAGCACGCACGTTGCATGGAAAATTATTATTCGGCTGCTAATACTGGCTGGAATCCAGTGATGTCGCAACAGGTGTGGAGACATTAATGTGGCCCGTTACGCTGGCTTCTGACAGAATTACAGCTCTCTTCATTGTGGCAACATAAAAACAGTCTCTTCATTTTAGCAGGTCACTCTGAAAATATGGATGAGACGATGTTCGAAGTATAAACCGGTTAGTTGAATAAGACCCCGTTCACACTGCAGATTAATAAGGCTGTCACTCCACTTCTGGGTGTTTCAGATAAAGCATTGGATTCACGCCGCCGTATTTTAGTGCATAATTCCTTCAGTGAATTGGGAGCAAAAATACATTAAAATATGTTCAGTTCCTAACATTCCTTTAGTCAGCTAAAAACAAACAGGTTAGACTCCATGTTTCTTGCTTACAGCCATGACACGCTGAAATGTTGCTATGATTATCAATATATAACGACCGATAATTAGGCTGTGCAGTGTGTACGTGGCCTTACCAAATTTACAGGTGCAAAATATGACCTTATTAGCTGGAATGTTGCACAAATATGTTGAAAAGTGCATTCGCAGTAGGCGGCGACCTTTTAAATTCCACAAACATCATTGCTCTTTAACT